GTCACTAGCGCCGCACCGTGTATATAGTGTGTGTGTGACGAACCGAGCGCGTGTGTGTAGGTGATTTTTTATTTAGAATTTGCGGAGAGCAGAGAAACGCTCATCACATTTGGTCTAATACATGTTTCTTCTCGCCTTATGTGTGTATACATGTGTGTGTGCGTGTGTGCGCTTGTGTAGATGGGATGCGGCTGATGACTAATTTCATGCGTTTGCTTGTTTCTGATAAGTGAGCGATTGGCGCGGGTGGGTGGGTGTATATGAGGGTGTAAATCGAGAGCGAGTGACACGGTAAAATGTGATTTGGCAGCGACCTACTTCTACGTAGAACGCTCGGTAATAGCGGCGGCAGCAGTGACGCGCGTGTCGTCGCTGTTCCGCAGTACTCGGTAGTTGCCGCCGCGTCTCGTGACGCACGCGCACGCGCAGTGCGGTTAACACATCTTGCTCTACTTTAATTTGCAGCAGCGCAACAGTACGAGACCGCTAATGCGTAATCGGCCGCGATAACTGTTGTACAGTTGGCAAACACCGACAGAAACCGTCAACAACACAACAACAACAACAACAACAACAACAACAACAGCAGCAGAATGTGGACGCTGACGCACCCCTGCGTCGTCTACTGCTTCGCCCTGCTGACGTTGGTCGCCGGCGCGAGGGTGAACACGGGCGACGACGGCATGGACTGCGCGAAAATGGTCGATAAAGATGGCGCCGAGATCGGAGTCGGTTGCCATGTGAACGTGACTCGCAGCATCGCCGACGTGCTGGGTGAGATCGGTCACGGCAGCGCCGTCGTCTCCATCTACTCGTGTCGTCAGCACGTCGCCTTCGACCCGGGCTTCGCTCGCGCCGTCGTGCACAGCGTCGAGGAGATGGTCATCAACAACTGTCCCGTCAGTCGGCTGCCGCGCATCTACTACACGGGGGTGCCACGGCTGCGCTGCGGTCTGAACACGCACGCCGCGCTGCGCGTGCTCAACCTGCGCAGCAACAACATCAGCGACGTCGCCGACTACGCGTTCTACGGGCTGAGCCAGCTCGAGGAGCTCTTCCTCGGCTACAACCGCATCACGCACCTGTCGGCGACGACGTTCCGCGGCGCGACGTCCCTGCGTCGCCTCGAGATCGCCTTCAACCGCATCGCTAGCGTCGACGCCGGCGCCATACCCGTCGTCTTCAGCGGGGACCTGGCGGCGCGCGTCGCGACGGGCGACACCCCGGCGCGCGCCTTCTGCTACTTGCCGGCTCTAGAGGACCTCTACCTCAACTACAACCGACTGACGGCGTTCTCGAACGACTCTCTCAAGGTCGTCGACTGGATGTCGGAGGTCGGGCCCGACCCGGGCGACGGCGGCGGATCCGCGGACCTCGCGCCGCGCCTCTTGCTGCTCAGCCTTCAGGGTAACGAGCTGAGTGACGTCGACGACCACACGTTTGCGGGACTCGACAACCTCGCGAAGCTGATGCTGGCCGAGAACAAGCTGCGGAGCGTGCGTGGCGCGATGCTCGCCGGACCGGCCGACCTGCGCATCGTCAGCCTGCAGGGCAACCTCGTCGACTACGTCGAGCCGACCGCCTTCGACGGCATGTTCCGGCGCGACGCGACGCACTACACGCTCAACCTCGCCGACAACCGCATCGACAACATCCATCCGGGAACCTTCCAGGCGCTGCGTCAGCTCGAGTACCTGCTGCTCGGCGGCAACGCCATCTCGCGGCTGCGCAGCGACGAGTTTGCGGGCACCGATGCGCTCGTGCAGCTCGACCTGGCGCGCAACCGGCTGCGAGCGCTGCCGGAGACGCTGCTCGACGGCAAGCAGCAGCTGCGCTTCTTCGCTCTCGACTCGAACGCTCTCACCGAGCTGCCGGTGTTCCTGCTGCGCGGCGCGCCCAACCTGTGGACGGCGCGGCTGAGCGGCAACAGGCTGGGTGGCGGCGGCGGTCTCCCGCCGGGTTTGTTCGACGTTCCGAACCTTCGCGCCATCGAGCTCGACTCGAACGCCATCGCCGACGTGCCGCCGAATCTGTTCCGCGACGTGCCCAACGTGCAGACGATCTCGCTCTACAACAACTCGCTGTCGTACATCGGCGCCGACAGCTTTCGCAACCTGCCGCGCCTCGAGTCGCTCAACGTGAGCGGCAACTCGCTGCGCGGCGTCGCGCCGGACGCCGTCGTCGGCGCGCCGTCGCTGCGCACGCTCGACCTCGAGGGAAACTCGCTGCGCTCCTTCTCCGAGCTGGCACGCAACATGTCGCAGCTGCTGCTGGCGGCGGAGCGGGACGGGGCGGGGCGCGAGGGGGGCGTCGAGCTCGATCTGCGCAACAACGCGATGCAGTGCGGCTGCCACGACGACATGCACGTCGTCTACGAGCTGATGCGGCGACGTCGCCTCGCCGTCGCCAGCATGCACTGCTACTTCTCGCACGACAACACCTTCTGGGAGGTGACCGCTGACAACCTGCTGAGCATCTTCGACCGATGCCCCGGCGTCGACCTGGGCGTCGGCGCCGCGCCGGCGACCAGCGCCGACGACGACGGCGCCACCTCGTGGGCGCTGTACGTCGGCGTCGGCGTCGGCGCGCTGCTGCTGATCGCGGCGGTCGTCGCCGCGCGGCACTGCAAGCGCCTGCAGGTGGCGTGCCACCGTCGCTACGGCGTGCGCATCATGCCGCGGCTGCAGGCGGCACCCAAGGGCAAGCCGTTCGACGTCTACGTCTGCTACAGCCGCAGCAACGAGCACTGGGTGATGCGCACCCTCGTGCCAACGCTCGAGCACCACGAGCCGCCCTACCGGCTCTGTCTGCACCACCGCGACTCGCCGGGCGGCGCCAGCTTCGCCGAGGCGGTGGCGACGAGCATCACGCGCAGCCGCTGCACGGTGCTCGTGCTCTCGGAGGACTTCATCAGCAGCGACTGGTGCCTGCTCGAGTTCGCGTCGGTGCACCAGGAGGCGCTGCGCTCGTCCGTCGTGCCGATCCTGCTCGAGGCGATCAGTGCGCAGTCTGTGAGCGCCGACATGAAGATGCTGCTGCGTAGCCGCCACCCGATACACGTCACCGACCCGCGCTTCTGGGATAAGCTCTACTACGCGCTGCCCGACCCCACCGCCGAGCAGAACCTGCCGCTGCAGTCGCCCGCGCACAAGTCGTACATGTAGGGTGCGCGCGTGCGTGCATGTATTCGTGAGTGTCCATTTCTGCGTGGGTGAGTGCGTGCGTGCGTGCGTGCGTGCGTGCGTGCGTGCGTGCGTGTGTGCGTGCCTGCCTGCCTGCATCCGTGCGTGGGTGCGTGCGTGCGTTGGTGTCTGCGTCCGTGAGTGTCTGCAAGCGTGCATGCGTCTACGTATTATTAGGGACTAAAGATTTGAAGTGTACATATTAGCAGCCTATGTAGTGAACTGTGTTTCCGTCTGGAAAACGGCCAATTGTAGCTGTTGTCGTGCGCACATGTATTCTCAATAGATTCCACGTCGGATTAAAAAAAAACTCCGTTCCGCACTAAAGGAAAGCGTGAATGCTTGTTGATCGCTCGTTGCGGCGGGAGAATTTATTTACTCTCGAGCTATAGGCTTTTTATGTATAATCTATCATAATAGTACGTGTTATGGGATGGATTACAATGCCTCCCGAGAAATAATCCCACAGCTGGCGACGCCATCTTTAATTACTTGTCTGTCAGACAACTGGCGCTGTGTGGATGTGTGCTACACGGGAGGGGATGAACTACTGAAACTTTAGGGCCACAAGCTTGGTCTATCGTATCAATATGTTGTTAAAATCTTCGATATCTAGCCGACGCATCTAGCTCTGTTCAGATCGAGATGAAGTTCTCTCTAGGTCACGCAGTGTAGCGTGTGTGCGTGTGTGTGCACGTTTGTTCTGTGTGTGTGTGTGTGTGTGTGTGTGTGTTTGTGCGTGCGTGCGTGCGTGCGTGCGTGCGTGCGTGGGTGTGCGTGCGTGCGTGCGTGGGTGTGCGTGCGTGTGTGTATGTATGTATGTGTGTGGGATTGACCAGATGACAGATTAGCGTGTGTAATAATCACTGACCCTACAGGTGGCAGCATGCACCGATGTAAGTAGTAGGCCGCGTTCACACGGTCATGGTTTGGCTCGAGCCAAATGGGCTAAATTTGGCCCGAGCCTGGTCCGACGTTTTTGATGGGACCAAATTGGCTCGTGCCAAATTGGCACGGCGCGAAAAACCGTCCGTGTGAACGCTCGGCTCGAGCCAAATCTGGCGCGGGCCTAATTAGGCTCGGGCCAAAAACTTCCGTGTGAACGCGCCTGTAGTCACCAGTATGTAGTAGTCAATAACCCTGCAGGTGGCAACACCAGTGCATGTAGTAGTCACTCAACCTGCAGGTGGCAGCACCAGCAGTTGCAGTACTCACTGAGCCTGCATGTGGCTGCAGTAGATTACTTTCTCCATGCTGTTATCTTGCTGTGATTTCTCTGCAGGCGCCGGTAGTCATTAGTAGGGACCACCATGATGTGAGTGGCACTGACAGTCCCTTCAGGGAAACATCAAACATCAGTGATGGATCCGCCTTCTGTGCAGGTCAATGAGGGTTAGGGTTAGGGTTAGAGTTGGTGTTAGTGTTAGTGTTAGAGTTACAGTTAGGGTTGGGAATAGGATTAGGGTTAGGAATACGATTAGGTTAGGCTTAGGGTTAGGTTAGGTTTAGGGTTACGGTTATGGTTAGGATAAGGTTTTGAGTTAGTGTGTTAGTGTTAGAAATAGTGTGAGTGTTAGAATTAGTGTTATTTTGTACAGTTAGGGTAAATGTTAGTGTTAGTGTTAGAGTTACAGTTAGGGTTGGGAATAGGATTAGGTTGGGGTTAGAATTGCATAGGGGTTAGTGCTAGAGTTAGGTCATGGTTATGGCTATGGTTAGGTTGTATTTTAGGCGAGATTTGGGTTAGGTTAGGTTTATGCTAATGAATAGGATGAGGGTATGCATACGGTTAACCCTGTACCTGCCATGTTGTGGTACAATTCTAAGTAAATATCAGGTTTGTGTGTCTGTGAATAATCCCCCTCTGAGCATCAGACGCATCGCACGTCAGACGAAGTCTTGTCTAATTATGTTTAGAAACTTATTTTAAAATAATTTTCCATACTGTGCAGACATGGCCGTGCAGAATGTGATTGGCGATTCGTTCCGTGGCGCCACCTGGGTTTCACTCCACAATGGCGGAGGTGTTGGATGGTAAGCTAAGCTTAATTGTATGATACTAAGACACATCTGTATAATAACGTTTGCGTAAGACACATTGCACATTACACATGCATTGTAAGAATTCGTATTTTGCCGCTGTTGCCGTGTGTGTCTCTCTATTCGGGTGAGGTGCTGACTATTAATGCATGTATGTTATTGCCGTGTGTGTCTCTTTAGGGGTGAGGTGGTGAACGGTGGATTTGGACTGGTGCTGGATGGATCACAGGATGCAGAGGAGAGGGCCAAGAGCATGCTGGGCTGGGACGTCTCCAACGGGGTATGTTACGGCTCTGCGTGCTGTCTCACGCACGGTGTCTCTCGGTTTTGTTGTGTAGGAGGGTAGGGTACTGAGTACTGTGGTGTGTAGGAGGGGAGGGTACTGAGTACTGTGGTGTGTAGGAGGGGAAGGTACTGAGTACTGTGGTGTGTGGGAGGGAGGAGGGTGCAGAGTACTGTGGTGTGTAGGAGGGAAGGTAGGGTACTGAGTACTGTGGTGTGTAGGAGGGGAGGGTACTGAGTACTGTGGTGTGTGGGAGGGAAGGTAGGGTACTGAGTACTGTGGTGTGTGGGAGGGGAGGGTACTGAGTACTGTGGTGTGTCGGAGGGGAAGGTACTGAGTACTGTGGTGTGTAGGAGGGAGGAGGGTGCAGAGTACTGTGGTGTGTAGGAGGGAGGAGGGTACTGAGTACTGTGGTGTGTAGGAGGGAGGAGGGTGCAGAGTACTGTGGTGTGTGGATCGTCCGCCAGGGGGCACTCTTGGATAATTAGATTTTAAAAAATCGCGCAGTGTGTGCGTGCATTCTGCTACAATGATGCAGCACTGCGTTAATCTCGTTGTTGATTGCCTCTCGAATAGATTGGAAATCTGCGAGTTTGCATGTCACACCGTGGCATTGCTGGTGATCGAACGACTTGACCCGCGCAATGCTGCTGCTACATGCGTTGCCGCAGGCTGGTGAGACAGGAGGCATGCACGCACACAGAGACCCTAGCTCTCGCTACAGTCATGCACCCCACCATAAACTCACTCCTTCCCTTCACCGGCTACACCGGCAACACTGCGTGAGCTTGCGCGTGCAGCGAAAGAAAATTCGCGCCTATTGTAGCTTTTATGGCGAAGGGTGGAGTCGGGGTGCATGTGAGGGGGAAAGAGGTGAGCGGAATGGAGTGTGAGGGGGTGTGGCTGAATTTGCAAGGGATGGGGTGAGCGGGATGGGGTTAGTTTTAGGGAAGGGGTGGGGTTGAGGGAGATGGGGGTGAGGGGGATGGGTGAGAGGGAGGGGGTTGGAGTGGGGAGGCGGGGTGAGAGGGACGGGGCGAGGGGCAAAAGTGGGGTAGTGCGTAGGGTAGATATTGGAACAGTTTATGGGGTAGGGGTGAGCAGGATCGGGTTAATGAGGTAGGAGCGCATCGACCTGATCTGGCCGCCATTTCGGTTCGTTCAGAGATGTTTAGTCGGGTTTTGTCGGCGTTTGCAGATGGGAGCCGATAGAGGTCGTAGCAAACGCAGTGACGATAACACTGTGACTCGATGAAGATTGAAATCGTCCTGACGGGCGCGAATGAATGAAACGCTGTGTTGATTTTTAAGAACGATAAAATTAGACAGTCACGACTAATGAAGGCAAGGCGTCAAGCGTCGTTTTCGGCGGGGTCAGTGGGAGTGGGTGGGGTGGGTGGTATTGTGTGGGGCGGTGGGGGTGTAGTGGGTGCGGTGGGTAGGGGCAAGGGATCGAATGCTTGGAAGGCTTGGCTTGGATGCTTTACGTAAAACAACATTGCGTGAGTGCGTGCGTCTATCCTCCCCGACTGCCTGAACTGCATGCCATAACCGCTAGGTTCCCTGTGAGGGAGTTATACGTCAATGAGGCAGAAACATGCCGGATAATTACGCGAGCGAGCGAGCGAGTAACGTATGCTGTTGGCGGTGAGTGGAGAATGGGCGGTTCTAGCTGCCTGCACGAGGGGCTTGCGTGCATCCATTATGTCGATTCCACGTTACATCGTTTTTTTCTCGATCTGCTTTGCATTTATCCCAGTTGCCATCCCCATCCTCGCTACCGCCGTCGTCAAGGCGACCCGGCGACGCCGCGTGCAAACGCGTCATTGCAGATGAATTAGTCAGTTTGCTAAATGGTGTATTTCTCTCCACCAGGTGGCGCGGCGCTGCTGGTCGGGCAACGAGCATGCGCGGGAGACGATCGTGCGGACGATGCAGAGCGACCCGCGTCTCAAGGTCACGCTGCCGCACAAGGTCAGCGACGGCGACATGCTGGCAGCAGCCTTCATCGTGTAGACAGACACCGGCACCCGCTGCCTGCCTGCCTGCCTGCCTGCCTGCCTGCCTGCCTGCCTGCCTGCCTGCCTGCCTGCCTGCCTGCCTGCCTGGCTCATCGCTGCACTGTCTGCGTGGGCTTACTGCGGTCACTCGTGTGCTCGTAGTAGTAGCTTGTGAGCTCTTGGTCTTCAAGCATCCGGCCGCGACACGCCACGTGGTGCGTGCCGTAGGTGTAACCACAGAGCTTTTCTATAAAATATAATGCTAAATAAATACGAAATCTATTTCCTACCAAAGTCTTAATGTTTCTCTACTCTCTTTCGCCTATTATTGCCGACAATATCCGGTAAATGCCGTGCAAATGCTCCTCTGCAACACACATGTACACTGCGCGCACGCTGCCGCACACTGACACATATATATATATATATAGAGACTTTCGATATGTCGGCAATAATAGGCGAAAGAGAGTAGAGAAACATTAAGACTTTGGTAGGAAATAGATTTCGTATTTATTTAGCATTATATTTTATTGAAACGCTCCAAGTGCCTGACACACACACACACACACACACACACACACGGTATTTGCGCTGCCGATGATCGTACGGTTGGTCAATTGTTATTCTATCCAACGTATTTCGGGAGTGAAGTGAAACCTTGTCTTCGCGTGTTGTTTAAGTGTGTGATAAATCACTCGCGGAGCGGGCGTGTATCCTCGCGTGCGGAGAGCGAGGCGGACAGGCACGCAGCTATAGCGGTAGATCCGCCGCCGGCCACTACCCGCCCGCCGCCGCCGCTGCCGCTCATCAAGGTTGCTCAGCGGCGACGATATCTAGCCGACGCATCTAGCTCTGTTCAGATCGAGATGAAGTTCTCTCTAGGTCACGCAGTGTAGCGTGTGTGCGTGTGTGTGCACGTTTGTTGTGTGTGTGTGTGTGTGTGTGTGTGTGCGTGCGTGCGTGCGTGCGTGCGTGCGTGCGTGCGTGCGAGTGAGTGTGCGAGTGAGTGTGGTGTGTATGTGTGTGTTTGCGTGTGTGCAAGCGTATTAGTGTGTGCGTGTGCATCGCCGCTGCCGATACCGAACAATTAACCCATTGCGTATATTCGTCAAGATTCGCGCCTATTGGGACAAAATATTCCACTCGTTAGTACTGTGTTGTGTAATAACTAGGTCTGTGAACACACGTGCAGCGGCAGCAGCATCAGCAGCCGCAGCATCAGCAGTAGTAACAGCAGCAGTAGCTTCAGCAGCATCAGCAACAGCAGCAACAACAACGACAGCAGCAGCAGCAACAACAAAAATAACAACAGCAGCAGCAGCAACAACAAAAATAACAACAGCAGCAGCAGCAACAACAAAAATAACAACAGCAGCAGCAGCAGCAGCAGATTCGTGCGTTCCTAACATGGCGGCACGCGTCAACATCAGGCGTTGCAACGTCGCAAGAGAAACCACCGACGGAGTCACCTGGTATAGACTTTCACCTGGAACTGTTGGCGGGCACTTCCTGCGCCACTCTCGCTTTCACGTTAAGTTGTTTATGATAGCAAAAGGACAGCTGGTCGATTTTTTCACGTTTACTGACGTGGGTTTGGGTGATTCCAATGTCGGTGGGCGGACGTACGTGTGCGCTACGCAAAATGTTTCTATTAACGATTAACGTGAGCATTCCATCCAAAATTACATAATATAGGTGTTAATTACGCCGTTAGAATCAATGATGATCAATTTGATGATGATTAATTATATATATGTGTATAAGATGATAAGTGTTTGCTGTTTATTTGAGTATGCGAGTCGAGGTATATACTAGTTGTTTTTTGTTGCTGTATATCTGAGAACTGTTTTGATAACATATAACATGTGAATTGAAATCTACTGGATAAATTATGTTTAAAAAATATACAATCGTCAGTAATAAAACATCAACGTGTTCGTTATGGTTTTTGTTTTTCCTTTGATGTATAGCTTACATACGAGGCAAGCAGACTTTGCATACCGGTGAGACCGGCGTTGTCAAAGATGTTTAGTGCTAAGATAAATAATCCTCTCGACAATCTTTGTCCTCGCACGCTGTCAAAAAAATCACACAGCTTCATCGTGACTGGCTGTGCATTGTCTCGGTTTTATCGCAGCGTTAGCTTTACTGTTGACGCGTGTAAGGACGCTGCTGAGAACCAGCCCCACGTTCGCCTTGACGCGGCCTGTGCACATACATCAACGCCCCCCACCCCACCAACCCACACACACACGCGCACGCACGATTGCACGTTCTCACACACGCACCCATACACGCAAACACACGCACACACTCGCACGATCGCACGCACGCTGTGGCATACCATGGTACGATGGAGAGAAGCATGTATCGGGCGAAACGAACACGACTCCCTTCTCAGAAGCTCAACGGATGATAAACTGTTTAAACTGGATATCGTAGATATAGGGCAATGTATATGGTATTTCATGTGTCTGTGTGCAGATGTGTGTGTGCGCGCGCGCGCGTGTGGGTTCATGTACACGTGTGTAGCTGTGCGTACATGAATTACGGTCTGTGTATGGTGTGTATTTCATTTTTCTAGTAAGTTGTTGTTCTCATCTTTTGTGGTTGTTGCTCTTATTGTTGTTTTCGTGTCTGTTGCTGTTGTTGTTGTTGTTTTTGTTGTTGTTGTAAAAAGCCCGTCACCGAGCATGCTGGTCATTGACGCTCATTCCTGGTTGACAAATTGACGCTCTCTGGCTGCCTACCAGTTTATACAAGCGCGTGATCATTCTGTTTTAAACTACACACATTTCAACAACGACAACGCTAACCTGGCAACGGGTCACGCCTTTTCGACAAATTGCTATCTGCTCGGATACAATGCGTGTGAAAATGCGTGTCAGTGATGTGTGTTGTTGCACAATGGCGCCCGCAGCCAAATGTGCGTTGTGGTGGTGAAGGTTCAGATAGTACTGCAAGATTAGCTGGCGTGACTTCTGTCTGTCTTCCATCTTAATTTCCTATCCTCTTCCCCCTCGCTCACTCGATCTCTTTCGCTCTCTTTCTTCCTCTCTACCTCTCTGCTTGTCTATCCGTCTGTCTGTCTTCCTGTCTGTCTGGCTGGCTGGCTGTCTGCCTCTTACTCCCTCTCTTTCTTCTGGCCTATCTTGTCCATTGCCTTCTCAATTTCCTTCCTCTGTCACTCTCGCGCTCTCGCATTCATTTTCCATCACTTTTCCTTTTATATTCAGTTCTTATCTTACCCGTCCGCTATTGCCACTGCTGTCAGGCCACACCTTGACACACAGAGCCGATATAATGTGACAGGCTATTTGCGGATAATAGAGGGCATGTATACGATTGACATCTTCCCCACCCCACGCTCACTCCTTCATATCTCACGTCCACATCTTCCTCGCCTATTCCACGCCCATCTCTTCCTCCATCATTTCGCATCCACCTCCCCCTCCCCCCACAGGACGCCCATCCTTCTCTTCATATCTCGCATTTGTCCTTCTTTCTGTTCGTTGTCGCTCCACTGACCGAAAGCCGGTGCGAGAACGTACGAAATTTAATGTTTTTTTCACTTGACGAAATTCTACTTTACCAGATAGATTGATTCGAAGGTTGTGCTAACATTGCAGCAGAAGGTATCAGCCCTGACCGAAAAATAACGAACGCACTCACTACATTCTCTCCATCGCTCTCTCGCGCGTTCTCTCTCTCTCTCTCTCTCTCTCTCTCTCTCTGCCTATTTCTCCTTCACCTTCCCTCTCTTGCTCTCTCTTCTCCTCTGTTACACCTTTCCCCAACTCTCTCCGTCTGCCCCCGCGTTACATTTCTCACACTAGCCGACACTGGCTTAGTGGTCGTGAATCATCGCGTTCAATCGCCGCCGTGTAAGCATTTAACTGCGGCCACGTGAACGGCAACCATAGAAATAATCAAGAGCTAATAAATACTGCTAACAAATAGCTAATAAAAGAGCTAATAAATAATATAGATAGACCTAATATAAAAGAGATAGGTTATCTATATTATTTCAAGTAGGTCTCAGGGTAGCCCGACCAGGCTGTGCGACGGATTGTCTATACAGTATTGTCTAAACGGATTGTCTATACGGTATTCTAACCCTAGCAATACCGTTTCTTGAATAATTCAACCGGGGATAAACAATTTTTACCGCGGTTGAAATAATTCAACCGAGGATAAAATATTTGTGTGTGTGTTGTGTGTGTGTGTGTGTGCGTGTGTGTGTGTGTGTGTGTGTGCGTGTGTGTGTGCGTGTGTGTGTGCGTGAGTGTGCGTGCGTGTGTATCACGTATTCGTGTACGCACACGAGTATATGCGCAAATGTATTGACTTGCGTTATAAATGACTGCTTATCCGCATGCTGTAGCCTAACTCGAACGAAGTGACATCGCCGGACAGAAAAGCGTTAGTTAACTTAACAGATAACTTGCACGATACCGGTACCTCTTCTGAATGAAGAGTACAAATCGAAAATAATTTTGTACAAGGGAGAGATAGTGATCCGCTAGGGGACGGCTTTGATTGGCTAATTTTCTCTTATTTATTTTATTGTTTATTATTTTTGGCTAATTTTGTTTTATTTTAGAGTTAAGGATAGGGTTAGGGTTAGGGTTAACTGATTTCTATATCCACAACTTATTTCTATATTCACTATCTCTCCCCTAAGACCTACTAAATAGAAAATGCCTCAACTTATATGGCCGGATATGTCTTACGAGGTGGGAAGGAAGGAAAGAGAAAGAGAAAGAAAGGATGAACGAAGGTGAAAAAGAGAGTCCGACAGTGATAGAGAGGAGGTGAAGAAGATAGATGCAGAGATAAAGAAAGAGAACGAGTGCGCGAGTGAAGGGAAGGGAGAGAGAGAGCGTGTATTCGTGCGCGCGTGCACGCACATCAATAACCATGCAGGCATCGATTAAAGACAACAGCTTTACAGTGGACTGCATTGCGTACTCCGCTCCTTTATTCCTCTCATACATACCGCTGAATGAAATTATCATACTCAATTCTCAACGAATCTTAAAAAAAGTACATACATCTCGAGAAATCCGCTGTTCGCAATCGATATGCTAAAGACGAATATAACACGCTGTGCGAGCAAGCAACTATAGCGGCTAGAGAGATATCATTACAATAGTATGCTTCATAAAGAGAGATATCATTACAATAGTATGCTTCATAAAGAGAGATATCTCTACAATAGTATGCTTCATGAGAAGAGATATCTCTATGATAGTATGCTTCATAAGGAGAGATATCTCTATGATAGTATGCTTCATAAGGAGAGATATCTCT